TGTAACTTCGGATTTTACGTTTTTTAACGAAAAATATGTAAAAACGAAGTAGGATCCATCGACTTTTCTCTCAAGCTCAATTTGTGTTTCTGACCTTTCCACGAAAAACAAAATCAAAGTAAATTCTACCCACGGGATTCGAACCCGGATCCTTCACCTGAAAATCCATTCCACTACCATTACGCTACAATCCCGATCGAGTTTTAAAATAAATGACTCGAGCTCCCCATCCCCTTCCTCTTCCTCCCCGTTCCTCTAGACACCCAAATGACAGGAGGATGTACATAGTTGTTGATGGGGGGTGGAGCAGGGTTGTCGTGTGGAAGGGAGGGAGAGGGAGAAGGAGCACGGGGTGCAGTGTCAATCTCAATTTGTGCCCCTTCTAACCCCATTCCCCCCTGCGAAGCGCCATCCGAACCCACCACACATGCTCGGGGCTATTCCCTGAATTCGGGCGGGTAGTCCAGTGTAGATCTTTGACCAGCCGGAAGTCTACGTTACGCTACGCCAGAGGACGCTTAGGCTTGGACATAGGCTTAAGGGCCGGACGCTTAAGCGTAGGCCTGGGCTTGAGCTTACCTTAGGCTTAGGGCTTCGTCTTAGGGGGTTTGGCTTAGGCTTCCGCTTAGCTTTTGCTTAGGCTTAGGATTAGCTGGTGCTCAGGCTTAGGCTTAGCTTGAGCTTAGATTGGGCTTAGGCTTATGGAGGCTTAGGCTTAGGCTTATGGGGGCTTAGGCTTAAGGCTTCGTCTTAGGTGCTTAGGCTTAGACTTAGGCTTATGGAGGCTTAGGCTTAGAACTTCGTTTTAGGGGCTTAGCCTTAGGCTACCAGTATGACTACGCAACGCTCCACTGCACTCAAGATCGCCAACCCCGAAGTGTAATTATACTCTAACCCATTGTCAACACTGTCGTACCTGAAATAAGACTCAAATCTAGAACCAATCTGCATTAGGGCCGGCATATTCAGCGTGTTCATCCAAGGACAAGGCGAACACGGGCCAAGACAATCGACGACCCGGTCGAGCCGTCGCTAATGCGATAATTTGTCCCCCGGAGGCGATAACCTCGTGTGGCTTCCGATTCGGGCACTCGGCCCAGCTGATGCATATCTCCACTTTGGGTTGCGGCTGTCAAGGTTGTGATAATTGGGATGGGAAGGTGACAGATATGACACAATGGGTATTCATTGGCGATTAATGGATTAATCTATTGTCTAGGAAAACAAAATAAATTTTTCCTACCTAAACTGTTAAAAATTCGGCTTGGCTTAGCTTAGGCTTAGGCATAAGCTTAGTTTAGGCTTATGTATAGGCTCAGGCGTGGGGATAGGCTTAGGATTAGGCTTCGGTTTAGGCTTACTTAGGCTTAGGCTTAGGCTTGGGCTTAAGCTCAGGCTTAGGTTAGGTTTAGGCGTAAACTTACTCCTGCTTACCTACGCTTCGACTTAGACTTGGGCCAGACTTCGACCTAGACTTCTACCTAAACCTTTCGACTCCTCAAATATCGTCTTTGATCATCTACTTCCTGCAGAACTGCTGCTACTACTCTTAATGGACTTCCTGATAAACACAAGCCCCTCTTCCGCTTGACCGACCTTCAGCTTCTCCGCGTTGTTGCCGTCTTCCGGTGCCATGAAATCGGAGAATCACCACGCAAAGCTTGGTTGGCCACCGGCCCGGGGCTAAGCTGCAAATTTCGGTGTCCCCCCCAGCCAGGGCCCGGGCCCAAATCCCCCGAAGAATCAGCTGTGCCAGATTATTGGGGAGGGGTGGGGGGGGGGGGGGCTGAACAAGGCAAAGCCAGCTTAGCCAACCGCCCCGATCCGCCTGCCAATTTCCAAAAAGGATCCCGAGGCTCTGAGCACGAAAAAAAACAGGCTCCCAATATTTCCGGAGGACAGGGAGCGAGAATGAATTTTGGAAAATGAATGGGGAGCGATAGAATTCTGGAAATATTGGGTTTTGGAAAGCGTAAAAAAATGCTTGGGCATAACTAGGTTTAGGCTTAGGCTTAGCTTCAGGTTTAGACCTAGGCTTGGGCTGAGGCTTAGGCTTAAGCTAACCAAGGCTTGGGCTTAGGCTTAGGCTTGCGTAGGCTTGGGCTTAGCCCTAAATTCGGGCTTGGCTTGAGTTCGGTCAGAGGCATCGGATAGGCTTAGGCTTGGGCTTTTAGGCTTAGGTTTAGGCTTAAGCATGGGCTTGGGCTTACTTTAAGCCTCATCTTGTGCCAAAATTTTCCCCTGATTTCGAATAAGTCTTTTAAAAATTCGCCGTTTCACGGCTAAAAACCTTTCATATATTTCCTACAGTTTAAGCCTAGACCAATGAAAAACGCCTAAAAAACAACAACCTGGCCCAGACTTCGATTCCGTAGCTGCAGCCGCCAACATTCCGGTCCGGGCCGCCGGGCCAGTCCGCACAGAGTTGTGTCCCGTAGCGCCCGGTCGCTTATGCCCAAAGACCGGAAACTATGTCCAAATCCAGCGTCACCAAGGGCCACTAATGTCCTGCGGCAAATTTACAGCGCGCCGCGGGTTAGTGGAAAAATGACGCCTCTACGGATATTTATCGAGGCTTCGGGTGGCTTGGGAGGAGCGAGAAACCGACTAGGGAAATTTTTGAAAATACGAAAATATGATTTTGCGTTTGGGACAGGGGAAAAATACGAATTACAACTACTTTGAAACTGACAAAAACTATTTTGGGCTTGAGACAGTCGAAAAAACAATTTTTGTCGTTTGGGACAGACCAAAACCATACCAGATACCAATTCACCGCAAAAAGAATCAAGATTTGGCCTTAGAAAAGTTAAAAATGAGCAGGGGTCATATCGATCAACGAGCAGAAAAACCTTTTTTTGTGTTTGGCACAACCCAAAATTGTACCAAATATCATTCACAAAAGTGAAAAAATAATTTCCGGACCTCAGGATTCCATTACGATGTTTTAAACACCCACGAAATTGCATTTTTGGCAGAAACTCTTCTTTTGAAATCAAAACCCTCACCCCCAATCCCGAGCGCCGCCACAAATTCGCCGAAAAACGTGTCCGGTCCCTCGAATCGGCAAATCTATAGGGGGAAGAGCTGATGAAGTTTGAAAAGCCAACTTACAAGCTCAATGCGCAGCCCTACGTCCTCTATAAGCAGCCCGAGCTTCTCGCAGATGCATAGCATTCCTAAAATGCGCCTAAACTGGGGGGTGTCGGGAAGGAGAACCCTATCTTAAATAACCTCAATTAGCTACTAAACGTTAGATTTCACGATTTTGTATCTATTTTCTATTAGTGCGCCAATTTCCTGGAATGATTTTTCAAACCTTGTTGATTTTTGTGACTTCTGTGTTAATCTGGTTGCGCAACGCTATACGCGAGATTAGCTTGAGTACAATGGCAAGGTAAACACCGCAAGTGTTCGCGGGTCAATTGCGCGCACAGGTAGCTACTTCGGCAGGAAATTAAAACATAGCTGAAGCTAAACGCTAAACGTTATAACCATAGCTATAACTTTGAATGAATTAAACAAAGCCTTTGCGCAGAATCAAAAGGCGCCCCATTTCATATTATAAATTGTCCAAAGCTGGTTTTAAAACTAAACATTTATTGGTACTGGACTGTTAGCAGGGGGGGACTTAGCTTTTGTTTTTCCAACCATACCTAATTTAAAAATAAAGAGCGTATTGCTATAATGTTTTTAATAATTTTTTATTCGTGGTAAGTTACAAAAAACTATTGTAAAAGTTTTTATAATTTTTGAAGAGCCTTTTAACCTAAAGATTGTGTAAAATGCTACAAACAATGGTTTATATTTTGCTATCACGTCGCAAAGGATTACTGGGAAAAATTAGCCCCCCCCCCCCCCCGCTAATAGCCCTGTACCCATTTAACTAATAGCTAGTCTGAATCTAAACCCAAGCTTACAAAGTTTCGTTAAAAACTAAAAAACGCTAAAAACCCAGGAAATTAGCGAAACTAGCAATTTTTAGGAAATATGGGGAGCTTCTCATCATTAGCAAAAGCCAATAAAAATAAACCTATAAAAATAGCCTTTCCTGATGGGTGGTTGTATATGAGTCAGGGTGCCGAGAAGGGACAGCCGTTTGTGCCCGGAGCGGCCAGATTTCTGGGATTGTTTTCCTATTCGTTTTCGACAACAAATTGCGGCGATTTGCCCGGCTAGAGGGCACATTCTCGGGGCAGGGAGATTCCCATGGTTCCGGTCGTGATCTTGGCGGAACATCGGCGGATAACGATAAAAATGGTTGCCGTGGGGGCGGAGACAAAATATCTGCACGAGTTTCCCATGGGGGTCATCGGTATTCGGCATGCCAATCGCTGTCGGCACCATCCAAAGGGATCATATTCAAACGGGGGTACCGCACGCGGGGGATAAGCCGGAAACTATAGGGAAACATGCAAGAAAACGGTACTAGACTTTTAGCGGGGGGCAAACCAAAGTTTTGTGATATTTTCCGCCTATACTTTCCTGTTGTTAATATAAACTGTATTTTTATCGTGTTTTTCGTAGTTTTCGATTGCTAGAAAGTTATAAAAAATATTAAACATATTTTGCAATTTCTGACCTTTTGGCAACTTTTCAAACAGTTTCGTCCAAAAAGGCTAAAAGCAAATCAAAAATCAAAAACTAATTTTCTAAAGCTTTTCTTTTGATCTACAAGCGCGTAAAAGGTTTCATCAGGGACGCCTACGGTAACATAAGAAAAAGATTGCCCACCCGCTAAGAAACCAGCCCCCGATCGTTTCGCCAAACTTGCTGCTTCTCGAAGAGCAGCGTGTGCATTTCTAAATCCAATGTTTTTGATGTATCGCTGTGAAACTTGTCTCAATCTGGTCTCATAAAGTTCCATTCAAAAAATTTATACCCTTCACTGGGTGAGGCACAACGTGAAAACATAACAACGTGAAACATCAACACAAAAAGCATAATAAAAACGTATAAAAATGGATATGCAAGCATCGAGGGGGGGGGGGGTTCGTTTAGAGATCTTGATCGCGTCCGAGCAGCAGCGTCAGGACGGCCATCCGGACGAACATGCCGTTGCGGGCTTGCCGGAAGTAGGCGGCGCGGTCATCGTGGTCGAGTTCGGGCGAAATCTCGTCGACACGCGGCAGCGGATGCATCACAATCGGCTTGGCGCTTTGTTGGCCTGGAACACGGATTTGTAATTGGCACTCGAAAGGATCGCCGAAATAGACGCAGCAAAATCATGCCCGAAAACTCACCGAGCACATTGTAATCCGTCGTCTCGTTTTCCTGTGTCGATTCGTCGAGGAGCTTTGGCGTCAAAACGAAGGCTCCCTTGACGCGCTCGTACGCGGCCTGGTCGCTGAATCGTTCCTAAAATGGTGGGGTTATATTCGGTAAAAAAATTCCATTAAATTCTATGACCTTTCTAGATATAAAGTTTCCAAACTTTCGCAAAATATAGACGTTTTGATCAAAAATTGAAAAAAGCTTAATTTTAGCAAATTTGGACTTTCTAGATTTTTTGTGATTGAATTTAGATCAGACAGAATTTTTAGAATTTAGAAAAAATAAATTTAAAATAGAAATATTAAAAATTTGTGATAGCTTCCAGTAGTCGAAAACTATTAAAAACACCCTACCCTTTTTTATCAAAAATCGACCAGGTAAAATTAGCTTTAGATCTCTACAAAATGCGAAACCCTATCTTGACCATAACCAACCTTCTGAACTCGAGTCATGTAGACGACGTCGACTCCCTTGATGCCCTCCGCCAGATCGGTGAATTTTTTCTAAAAGTATCATTAAGTTGTGTTATAAAAAGCACCAAACCTGGACAAAAGCGGGCCGCGTCTCCCCGGGGCGATCGCCCATCTGGCTGTGCTTGTGGACGTAGTCGCAGACCGATTCGGGCATTCCGAGCTCTTCCACCGGGGACACGTAATGGAGCGTGATTTTCTAAAAATAAAAATTTGAAAGATTGATCTGATAATTCTTACGTTGTAGCGCGTGAGGAGCTTGGCAAGCGAGTGGACGGTGCGGCCGTTCTTCAGATCGCCGACGAGCGCGATTGTGAGCCCGTTGATGGAGGAGAGCTCTTGCCGAATGGTGAACACATCGAGCAGGGCTTGTGTTGGGTGCTCGCCAGCGCCATCTCCGGCATTCACCACCGGTTGCGTGCAGACGGCGGCGGCGCGTTGGGCGGAACCGATCTGGAAAAATGGAAGTTATTTAAAAATTAATAAGAAAAACCAACCTCTGGGTGCCGAATGACAACAATGTCCGCGTAGTTGCCCATAATCTGAACGGAATCTTCGAGGGTTTCGCCCTTTTGCACGGAAGACGTCTGCGAATCCATCGAGATCACGGTGCCGCCGAGTCGCTGCATGGCCGCGCTGAACGAGCACGAGGTCCGGGTGGACACCTCGTAGAACAGCGACGACATCACGTAGCCTTGAAGGACGTGTGTGAGGGGATTGGTAGCGCTCCACGTCGGAGCGGAAATGCTCGGCCAGCTCGAGGATGCGGTTGATCAGCGGCTTGTCGAGGTGTTCGACGGAGATGAGGTTCTGTCCGGCCCACGCGAGTTTTGCCGGGGAAAGCCGGAGCGGGGTCTCCAGGGGAGAGTCCTGAAATTTACCATTATCATAGCATTTACCATAGTTTTTAGATACAAAAAACCCACACAAAATATTTTTTGGTCGAAAAAGTATGAAAATGATAAAACAAGGTCAAGATTTTCGAATTTTAAATTTTATAACTTTCTAGCACTACTTAGGTATAGGTGGAAAAGCGAAAAGTGGTTTCCCAACCTGCAAACCCCCCCCCCGCTAACAGTCCAGTACCGCAAAAGCTCGTTTTTTGCGAAAAAAATAGAATTTCAAAACTCGCAGACCTCAGAAGAAAGCGTCTCGGCTGGAAGTCGTCCTTCAGCGGCAGCCTCTTCAAGCTCACGTCTAATGACATCTTCATCCTCGGCGCCAAAATCGCTGGACAGCCGCACATTCCGGCCGCTGCCCTTCTTGGCCACGATATTCCCGTCGACGAGGGCCTCCTAAATACGAATTTCCGGAAAAATAAATATCTCCAACCTCTCCGTGAATTACGACGTTGACGACTTTTCCACGTACAGCACGACCGGCATACGGTGTCCAACCGGCCTTCGATTGGCCGCCATTTTCCGGGATTGTCCATTCGACGCCGAGATCAACCTGCACGGGCGAGAATTTGCGGAAATCTATACTAAAAATACCTCGATGTAGGTATCCTTCTGCTCGGGCAGTCCAAAGATGCGCCGTGGGTTGTGGTGAAGCCGGTCGACGAGCTGTGCCAATGTGAGTCGGCCCTCGTGAACGAAGGTGAGCAGCAGCGGGAGCATGTATTCGACTCCAGGGAAGCCGGGCGGTACTTTTTCAGCTCCGTGCTTCTCCTCCCGGGTGTGAGGCGCTGAAAAAAAGTTTTTTTAAAAAGCTGTGTGTTTCAAGAAGAAAAACAAAATTCCAGAAATGCCTGATAACTCGCTAATCCTACTTCAACTATCTTAATAATTTTTAATAAAATTTTTGGTAAAATCTAATTATATTTTAGGTAGAAACACAAAAATGTTTTTAGTGGATATTTGTGATCGAAAATTGATAATTTTTGATGGAAAAAAATAGCATTTTTGTATATTTTAAATTAAAGTAAAAAAGTTCACGCTAAGGGATAGTAAAAACACTTCCGATTTGATATTATAAAAACGGCTCCTAATGAAAAAGTTGGCCCCCCAGATATTACGAAACAACCAAAATTCGTACCATGATCGGTGGCGAAGCAGTCAATGTAGTCGAGGTTGTCCCAGAGGGCTTGAACGTCAGCCTCTTGCACGAGTCGGGGGCGCACCTCGCGGACGCCGCAGGGCAGGCAGCCCTCGGTGAGGATGAGGTGGTGGGGGCACACCTCGCATGTCACAGCCCAGCCCTAAAAATGGTAATTTATCGAAACGAAACCGAATTTCTTACCTTTTGCTTGGCCTCGCGGACCAGGGTCATCTCTTCAGCGGTGGCCAGGTGACAGATGTGGACGGCGCGGCCGGTCAATTGGGCACACATCAGCACGGCGGCCAAGGTTTGGCCCTCGGCGTGGCAGACGACAGGTCGAGTCGTCGGGAAAGAGCGTAGGTGCTGAAAAAGAATTATTAAAACTTAAAACCAGTAATCGTAAAAATATTTTCGTTCTAAAGTCCCACCTGCATCCAGTGGGCCATATTGTCCATCTTCAACGTCGAGAAGGTGTCGTTCAAGTACATCTTGAGTCCGGCGGCCCTAGAAAGGGGGGAAAGTTCCGAGGATACAACCGAAAGCTTACTTTTGTGCCAGCGACGCAGCAACCGTGGCGTTCGTCGCGGTGGCCCCAACGTAAAGCGCGTAATCGACGAGCGCCTTCTCGCTGGCCAGCTAAAAAAACACAGGTTAAAATTACTCAAAAATAATCAAACCTTGTCGGTGAGCTCGTAAGAGGCATTGTCGGTGAGGGCCGGGTTCGTGTTGGGCATCGCGAGAATCATCGTCACACCACCGGCGAGTGCGGCACGAGTACAACTCTCCCAGTCTTCCTAAAAAATCGTGTTTAAGAACCTTTTAAAACCAACTTTTCAATGCATTAAATTAATGAATTACCGCTAAAATTACCTTGTGCGTCGCGCCAGGCTCTCGGACGTGCACGTGGACATCGATGAGGCCGGGGAGACGTCGGAGGGTACGCGAAGATACGCAATCAAACTGCGCGTTCATCGCCGGTCGAGGGCCCAGCCGGCGCAGCGCCTAAAATAAAGAATACAAAAAAAGAATCGCTATCAACCTCGATGAACAGCTTGGCGCATTTGATGTCGGTGATCAGCGGGATGCCGTTGTCGATGGCCATCCGACGGGTGCGATAGCCTTGCGTGGGGCCGGCCGATACCCTGTACGCGCCGCTGCGCCGGATCGGCAGATTGATCATCAGGTGGAAGTCTTTGTTTTGGAAGAATTCGGTGACGGACCTAAAAGTATTTTGAAGAAAAGTGAGGTATTTTCGAACCGGGATCCCGCTGCCGTTTTGTCATCGCTGGCTCCTTCTTCGAATGGCCAATCAACCACGTGAACCTAAAAAACAGTTAGGTAAATGTATCATTTAAAAACTAACCGGGATATCGAGTCCGTGCAAATAATCGGCGGTGCCCTTCGACGCGTACAAGTCGAAGCCGAGTGAGATGAGCGTCTGTATGCTGGGCATCATTTCGCGCTTATGCTGAAAAAAGGAGTAAATAAGCCAAAAACATGATCTTACGTCAACTCCGCCCATCGAGATGAAGATGTTCTTCCTGGGTGGGACAAAGCCGGTGGCCAACAAGCCCTTCAAGTAGGCTTCATGTCGGTCGCGACCGAAGCACGCAACCTAAAAAATAAATTATCGTTTAAACTTTTCAGGCACAAACCTCGCCAGTCGATGCCATCTCCACGCCAAGCATCACATCGGCGCCGGCCAGCCGTGAGAACGAAAATTGCGGGACCTAAACCGACATTGTCAAATTCCCAATCGAATCCACCAACCTTCACTCCAACACGTCCCCTGCCTCTGAGCACGCCGTGAACCTTTTGAATGAGCTTCCCCTCCTTGATCTGCGGGTTGTCGGCGGACATCATCGCCCTTGTCGCGAGGCCGACAAAGTCGAAATCCAGCGTCTTCGAGACGAACGGGAAGGAGCGCGATGCTCGCAGATTGCATTCAATCACCTTCAGCTCGTTGTCCTAAAAAACTAATTGAGAAAACGGTCGTCAAAAATTACCTTGGCAATCAACTGCATGTTGAATGGACCGTTGACGTTCAGGCCGCGCGCGATCTTCTCGGTAATTTCCTTGATCTTCTCGATAGTTGTCTCATTCAGATCGGCCGGCGGGGTGACGAGCGTGGCGTCGCCCGAATGGATTCCCGCGTTTTCGACGTGTTCACTAAAAAAAGTATTCGAACCTAAAAAAAGGAATACCTGACAGCCATTACTCGTAGATCACCTTCGAGCGCCACCGCGTCAATGTCAATCTCCTTGGCGTTGTTAATAAACTTGGAGACGACTACAGGATGCTCCTTGGCGACGATAGTGGCGCTTCGCAGGAAACGCTCAAGGTCCGTCTCATCGTGCGCCACATTCATCGCAGCCCCGGACAGGACATACGAAGGCCTGATTAGGCAGGGGTATCCGACTGCCGCGCAGAATCGCTTAGCATCGTCAATATCCTGACATTTCTTCCATAGTGGCTGGCAAATCTTCAACGAGTCGAGCAAGCGCGAGAACTTGAACCGATCTTCCGCGTTGTCGATCATGTCCGGCGAGGTGCCAAAGATTCGCACATTAGCTCGGCTCAACGACATGGCGATGTTGTTCGGCGCCTGGCCGCCGAAGGCGAGGATCACACCCTTCGATTTTCACGCTCGTAGACCTCCAGCACGGTCTCCACGCTGATCTCCTCAAAGTAGAGCCGGTCACACATGTCGTAGTCGGTGGATACAGTTTCCGGATTGCAGTTGATGGTGATCGTGCTGTACTTCAGCGATTTCAGCTCGTTCAGACAGGCCACGCACGAGGCATCGAATTCGACCGATGAGCCGATGCGGTAGACGCCGGAACCGAGCACGATCGCCGAGTTTTTCATATCGAACGCCAGGTCATCCTCGTGGCCATTGTACGTGAGGTACAAATAATTGGTGAATGCCGGCCATTCTCCAGCCACCGTATCGATCTGCTTCACAGAGGGCGCGACGCCGAGCTTCTGGCGTCGGGCGCGAACCGACCAGTCCGTACTGCCGATTCGCTTGGCAATTTGCTTGTCGCTGAAGCCAGCTTGTTTGGCTTCAAGAAGCAGGGCGCGATCCAGGTGGTCGACGGTTGACTTGGTCTGCGAATCAATCCTCATCTCAGTGAGTCGGCGCATCAGGGTCACGATGTGGAACATGCGGTAGAGGAACCAGCGGTCAATCCTGCTCAGCTCGTGCGCCTTCTCAACGTCGAAATCTCCGTAGTACATTCCGCGCGCGAGTGCGAACATTCGTTTGTCGGTGGGGCAGGATATGTCTTCCTCCGTCGGCTTCCGGGGGAACATGTCGGGGCTGAAGCCGTCGGCCGAGTCCGAAACCATTCTGAGGGCTTTTTGGAAGGCTTCTTCGAATGATCGGCCGATGCCCATCACTTCACCGACACTCTTCATCGACGAGCCGATCTGGCACGAGACGCGGGCAAATTTGCTGAGATCCCAGCGCGGAATCTTCACGACACAGTAATCCAGGGACGGCTCGAAACAGGCAGTTGTCTTTCCAGTCACGGAATTCCTGATGACAGGCAAGCGATGTCCGAGGGCCAACTTTGCCGCCACGTAGGCCAATGGATAGCCGGTGGCCTTGGAAGCGAGAGCGGAAGATCTTGACAGACGAGCATTCACTTCGATGATGTAGTACTGCTCCGAGTCGGGGTCCAGCGCGTATTGGATGTTGCACTCGCCGATGATGCCGAGATGGCGGATCACTTTGATGGCACAGGTGCGGAGCATGTTGTACTCCTTGTCGGACAGCGTCTGCGACGGGGCAACGACCACCTGGAAAATGATAAAAATTAAATAGGTTTTTCGATTGTCTATGCTCTGATATGCAAAAAAAAACTGACCGATTCTCCTGTATGAATCCCGAGCGGATCGACGTTTTCCATGTTGCAGACGGTGATGCAGTTGTCGTAGGCGTCGCGAACCACTTCATATTCCACCTGAAAAACGATTATTACCAAGGGCTGCGTGCTGCGAAATTTCCTATGCGTCTAATCCGTTCGTGCGTCGAATTTCCTATAGTAACGTCATCGCAAATATTTTAATAGTTATTTTTTTGGAAAATTTCGCTACTGCAAAGTGAAAAAAACTAGTTAAAACTCTTCCAAAAACTACACACCTCTTTCCAGCCCTTCAAACTCTTGTCGACGAGCACTTGGTTCGAGGCGGCAAGCGCCTTTTTCGCAATCTCCACCAGTTCGGCCTGATTTGACGCGAAGCCCGAGCCGAGTCCTCCAAGACAGTAGGCGGCGCGGACGAGTACTGGGTAGCCAAGCTCTTCGGCTGCTTGGATCGTTCCTTCGAGCGTCGTCGCGGCTTTACTCGGCGCGACTTGTTCTCCAATTGATTGCATTTCGGTATTGAACCGCTCGCGGTCTTCCGTATTTTGGATTGTCTGGATTTGTGTTCCAAGCACCTGCACGTTGTACTGGTCGAAGATGCCGTCCTTGTACAAATCAATGGCACAATTTAGTGCCGTCTGCCCGCCAAACGTGCAGAGGATACCGGTCGGGCGTTCCTTCTTGATCACATCCGTAACGTACTCCTTGGTGACGGGCAGGAAATTCGTCTTATCCGCGAATCCCTTGATTGTCTGCACAGTGGCCACGTTGGGGTTGATGAGCACGGACGCGATTCCCTCTTCGCGAAGGGCTTTCAGGGCCTGTGCGCCAGAGTAGTCAAACTCGCCAGCCTGACCGATCGTCAGACCTCCGGACCCGAGCACGAGCACTTTCTTCTGCTCGGTAATTTTGTAGGTGGACGGGAAGGTGAGGCGTTCGGTGATGAGCTTGTCGGCGCTCAGCAATTGCCCCTTCTTTGCCGCGGCGACGACTTCGGCAAAAATGTCGAACAGGAACTCGCAATCGGTGGGCCCGGCCGAATGTTCTGGGTGGAATTGGACGCTGAACAAGGGCTTGTCGACGTGCACGATTCCTTCGTTCGTCCCGTCATTCTCATTGGTGAAGAGTGGACGCCAGGTTGCCGGGAGGGTCTTTTCGTCCACCTAAAATACAAATAAATAGTGAAAGGAGAGGCTTTAACTTACCGCAAATCCGTGATTCTGCGATGTAATGTAGCAACGGCCTGTAGCGTAGTGTGTGCAAGGCTGGTTGTGACCACGATTACCATATCTAAAAAATAAGGCTTTTTCGAAAGGAGGGAGACCCACTTTAGCTTGTAGGTCTTGGCACCGACAGCCCTGGCGAGGAGCTGGTGGCCGAGGCAGATTCCAAAGATCGGCTTGTCGCCTCGGGCCACGATCTTTGATAGGCGCTCAACGAGCAGGGCGCATTTCTCGGGATCGCCGGGTCCGTTCGACAGGAAGAGACCGTCGAACTCTAAAATTCAAAAATTTATTTGATAAAAGATCCCAACCTTCTTTTTCAATGGGCCAATCCCAGGGGACGACCTTTACCCTGCCGACACGTCGCACCAAGCAGCGAATCTAGAAGCACGACTCTGGAGATTCGAAGGAAACTAACCTGATTATATTTCAAGCCACAATCGACGGCCAGCACAGTCGTGGGGCCATCTCCGTAGATTTCCGGTTCTTTTCGGGATACTGAGGCCACGACGTTTGTTTCGTTGAAGTCGACGAAAGGAAATTTGTCCGGCTCATCGCCGTCGATGATTAGCTGAAAATTAGACGGTTATAGACGAATGAAAAAATGATACTGTAGACCTTTTTCACCAGATACCGCTAGTTTTTGCAGATTTCAGGCACCAATCTGGCCCCATTCTCAACCGAGCAAAATCCGGGACCACACTTTCCCCCTCCTACGCTAGCGGACGCCGTGTTGACCCCAGGACAGCCAGTCTTTTTCGCCGAAACGGGTTTCCCCCGTTCTCACGCTGCCCCCAGTGTCTCTCGAGTCCCGTTATCTGGACACGACAACTGACCGTTCAGTCAGTGTTCACCTTTGATAGTAGCTGTCTGGGTGGCACGGGTCAGGGCGAAAAGTTTCGAAAAAAACTTTGGCCCAGAGATCTTGGGGCCAAAATAATGGGCTAGCCTTACAAGTGTAAGGGCGGACTAATTACCCGTAAAAACAACGTAAAACATTTTGTAAACAATCCTACCTTCGCCTTCATTGTCCCCTGCTCTCGAATTTTCTTCGTCAACTGGCGCACGTCAATCCCGGATAGGCCAGGGACTCCATGGCGCTTCAGCCAATCCGACAGCGAGCTCTTCGAGCGCCAGTGGCTTTCTTCGCCCTCCGAGCAGATCCTAAAGATGTTTTTGAGCTTGAAAAACTCTATTTACCTGTCTACAATCAATGCGGCCGGCCAAATTTTGGCAGATTCGAAGCCCTCGGGTAGACCGAATTCGTCGCGCTAAAACACAAGGGTTGGTATAAGCTACAAAAACGAACAGACCTTCGTCTCATCTGGGACGCCGTAATTGCCGATCAGCGGGTAGGTGAGGGTGAGGAGTTGATGTGCGTATGAGGGGTCGGTCAAGCTCTCGACGTAGCCGACCATTCCGGTTTGAAAAACTGAAAAACTGGGTGTACTGTAGAAAAAAGGACTTTTAAAAGCCATGCTTTAGTTTAAGCAAAATAAGGTTCAAAATAAGCACATACCGATCTCTCCATATATGGATTTTGTGGCGCCGAAGAGCTGCCCCTCAAATCGCGAGCCATCTTCGAGATGTAGCGTCGCGCTCATCGTCTCGAAGCAGCTGGTCATGGGCCCGTTCGATGTCGAAAATCAAACAGATGAAGTTGGGTTTCCGAAATAAGAAGTGAGAAACGGAATTCAAGACAAAAAGATAGACATTTGATGCGTAGGAGCCAGAAAAACGTTTCACAGTTTTTAAAACGCCAAAAATATTAGAAAAGCTCCTAATAAAGCTCCTAAACCCTATTCTTTGTATCAATTGCCTGAAAAACTTTCTGCTAAAGATAGAACGCCACAATATAGTATTTTCAAGCTAGTTAGTCCATTAAAAGACTATAGCAGGGGAAACACTGGGATTGTTGAATTCAAAAATAGCTCGGCGGTGTTGATGGGAAATGGGGGCTAGGATGAGGGAGTGAAAGCAAGGGGGAGAGCCGAGGCTTGCACTTAAAACGGCGGACACGTGCAAAAAGGCAGGAGGACCTCTCCTGACCACTGGGGTCTGTTTTTGCTTCCAATCTTGGGTCAGGGTTGAGCAGCTCCTCCTTGTTTTATCAGTAGACCAGCGCCCAAAACCCGCTTCGCGGGCCCTGGGCGCTGGAATGCGGCCTTTGCCTAAGAAATTTGACTTTCCGATAGCTCGGGTCCTTCGGACCCCCTCCCCCCCCCGGCCGACCACACTCGCGAGTGCGACTTGCAAGAATGAAGAAATTTCTATTTTTTTCACATTATGCAAATTACCCCCAAAAATCAGTAAAACCGGCTTTAACTTTGTAAACTTGTATTTTAGCAAAATTCTGAAAGCGCCATTGGAAACAGAAGGGTCGATTTCCCCGAGTGACGGAGAATTAGAGCATTTTATGCACGGGAAGGCCCTCAAATCGGGCCTTGAAAGTGACATCCACACACACACACACAGTTACACGCCAAAATTATACAGGGTGTATCAAAAAAAAGTGCCCAAGTTTGTCCCCAATTATCTCGAGCAGAAAAGATATTTCACCGTGCGTTACCATGCCAGAATGCTTAAATATGTCAGGAATAGGGAAATAACTCAACTTGATTTTTTCGATTTTTGGCGACTTATCAATACAAATGACACTCGAAAACTGTGCGTTCGGGGAAACTTCATTTGCGTTTTTCTCAGTTTCCTGTGGTGGCTGGCTTCTAATCTTTACAATGTAGAATAATCTAAGCAACATACATGCACCTAAAAAAATTTAGATTTTTTGAGGGTCTGGTTCAAAAGTTATGCACCACTGAAATTTTGTATGTAGAAATTTCGTGAATTTCGTGTATTACAAAAACCTGTGGTGGAAATGTCAAGATAAGTGGTTTTAAAAGATCTACGGGATCGACACAATCGCATAAAAAATTTTACAATTTTTTAAGATCTATGAATTTTTGAGTTTTTCGACGACCCCCTGGTCATGGATTTTTTTGGGGTCACGGCAACGAACTTCAGAAAAATATTTCTAAAGTTGCAGATGGAACTCGGCTATTTCTTTTCTTGGTTATGTAGGACTGGGGTTTATCTATCATCTACACGAATTTGAGCTACCGTACCCCCTCGGAAGGGCGTCTTTTAGGGCCCCCAAAACGGTTGGTTCGTGCTATTGTGTAAACCTTACTTCCTTTCTATAAAATTGAATTGTGCCACCAAAATTCTCGCCACATTTTTGTTTGATACTATCTGGTTGGCGCATTCAAATAGTATATTTACGAATTTATTCAGCCATACGCTACCTCGAAAGAAATTCATAAAAAGCCCAAATATACCCGAATTCGAGGCTATGTAAAAAAATGCTCGATGCGCTAGTAGCCGTGAAATTTTTAGCATAAACCAAGCTTGGGTATTCAATTAAAAACCATGCAAAGAAAAAACTTTTCTATGGCAAACGATTTTAGAAGAGCGCCTCAAAGTCGACTTTTCAAAAACGTTATTTTCGGGTTTTAAATCAAAATCAACCATTAACTTCAGCCAGATCATTCCAGAACTCTGCCCTCATACACAATTCGATGCGTGCTTTAATTGTATCCACCAAACCCAGGTGCCTTTTTCATTTTCAAAAATTCGATTTTCGAGCCAGGGCGTTGGGTCCAAAATCGGGGCCCGAGGGGGGTTTTCCTCTTTCCTTCATAACTTTGTCATTTGCCACAGGAATCAAGTAATTTTTTGTAGGTGCTCTGACATTCACCCAGAGAACAGTATAGAATCGAAAAACCGTCACTTTATGGAATTTTGTCTTGGCATGCTAAAACGCGCTCCAGGCGGGTTACTGTAGAAAACAGAAAATCGTCGTTTTCTCGTGCTTTTCACCATAGAAACGTTTCGATCTTTCAGGAAAACAAATAATAGTAGTTTTTAGTCCGATGCATCAAAATATTTAGAAATTTCCGTGGCTAAATTCGAAAATAGGTTTTTTGCATATTTTGGGAAAGTGTATGGCTAAAACTTCGCGATATTTAGCCCATAGGTGACCCTGACTGGTGTTTACCAATGATAAAATTTTCAGCGAAATCGCAGCTTACAATAAAAAGAAAAACGCGGAAAACGAAAACTACAGTACCCCTCTGGGGCGCGTTTTAGCACGCAATATTAAAATACCATAGAATCAGGTAAAATTTGGTGTTGCGCTAAAGATTATCATTCGGAGACACCATCTGCAAAAGATCAGCCATGGGCAGCGTATTTGAAGCGAGTTGCGATTTAAAAAGTAAAAATAAGCAAAATAGGGAAATTTGTTTTGCTTGTAAAACAAAAACCTGATCTTGAAAAATTCTAAGATTTGGCCATTACCTTTATACAAATGCCAACGATTTTTGGGCCAAAAATCAGAATTTTCCCACCACCCGTTCAAGAACGCACAATTTTTAGTCGTAACCACCGTCAATAGTACAGTTGCGTACTCAAAAATCGAAAAAATCAAGTTGAGTTATTTCCCTATTCCTGACATATTTAAGCATTCTGGCATGGTAACGCACGGTGAAATATCTTTCCTTCTCGAGATAATTGGGGACAAACTTGGGCACTTTTTTTTGATACACCCTGTATAAGGTAGGATGCGCAAATTACACTGGGGGTCATCGCCGCGGTGCTTCGGATGGACTCGCGGCTTCGGGGCAAGTTTCAGGGTTTTTGTGAAAACGAAAAAGTGCTTACGAAACTTCGAAATTCTATAAAGCTCAATATTCGAAACTTTATTAAACAGAAACTTTTAAATTTTATAAAACTGATTTTTCGAATTTTTATAGAACAGGATTTTCGACATTCTATAAAACAGAATCTTCGAAATTCTATAAAACAGAATCCTCGAAATTAACGCAAAACAGTTACAATTCTATAAAACTAAATCCTCGAAATTCTAGAAAATAAAGTTTTCTAAATTCTATGAAACCATTTTTAAAACATTAACAATCCTCTGAACTATAAAAGATACTTAGAAATTTGATAAAACCGTACCCTGGAAACCCGATAAAACAGAAACTTCTAAATTCTATAAAACAAAACCCAATTCCCCAGTAAATGTTGAAATCAATGGTCATAGCCGTGTCATCCTCCTTTTAACAGGCAGATGGCAACTAGGGGACCGAGATCTCAAACAAAGATACGAGATCTGCAGGGCCGTTTCCAGGACAATCGAAGTGTTCGATGAACCAGGGATCACTGCGAAGGTATGGGGGTCCAACTAGCCGGATTATTGGCCGAGGATCATTTGATATCGCCCAGAGCCTAACAGAAATTACAACCTACTGATACGGTGATACAGATGTCCCTATCGGGAATCGATGCCCTGACTGGAAATGTAGGAAAAGATGATGCTGGGGGCGTTCCATGCCCTGGGGTATCTTGGCTATTTATAGTATCGGACCTGGGACAGAGATCATCTTTGCTGGTACTCACACGTTCCAAAACATGTCTGCACAAGTGTAAGGTTCTTTGGCGTTATCGGGGGAGACTTTGTCTTAGTGTCCAATTTATCAAATATATAGCGGAAGTGTTTCTAAGCGGTTTTTGATATTCCTAAGCGTAGAAGCATTCCAATTTTTTTGTAAAAACTACAAAAAAAAATCGATTTTTCGACCAAAAACGGAGGTTTTTACAAACATTCCGACTTTTGACAGTTTTGACAGACAGAGATATTTTAGTTTTTCTAGTGCAAATCGAATTTTTGTTTTACTAAAAAAAACTATTTAAATACTTCATATTAAGTTAACTAGGCATTCCTTGGCCTATAAAAAAAAGTTAAATTTTCTAGTTTAAAAATGGCGGATCGCGTCGAGAACTGGACAAATCGGGCGCGAGAATTGTGGATGGAGGCTGAAGAGCATAAGAAACACTTGCTCATACTTCAAGTCACCTCGTTGGCCTACATGTTCATCTTTTTCGGTGTGCAGACGCACGAAACGGTAATTGAGTGTGGCTATGTCGCTGCTAATTTTAAAGTCAAATGCCTCATTTTTCTATGATAAAGCGGCCTCAATAACTTTTTTTCAGTGTTCGATGAGCTGCGCAACGAGGACTCTGATTCTCCTCTTGCATTTGGTGATTTGGGGCAGCGCGATTCTTGGTTTGTTATATTCAAGCTGTCCGTGCTTCCCTCATTTTTTCCAAAAACTCGGTTTTATCGGTATGTAATGGCATTTTCCGCCACATGGTCACCAATCGTCATTTTCCGACAGTTTTTACACCTTAAAGCAACCGGTTTTTTAGCTTTTTGCTTCAATAAATAGATGCATGACGACTTTGTTTCAGCGTTGACGTGCCTCTTTGCTCTCCGCGCCGAGGATCGAGCCAAAGTCCGGGCGGCGTTTTACGATGTTATATCAAGTAATAATTGAGCGTTTAGCCGATTAAAACACGCAGCAAAAGTTTTAGTTTGCCTTTTGTTAACTCAACCTCAGGCAGCCTTTAGCTTTGTTCTCAATTGAAGACAAGATTTATTAGCTTTTGATTAAGACAAAAATAACAAGTTTTCAGCTTTAAATGTCGTTTTCTAAATTTTAGGATCCGTCAACCAGTGGTGTAAGTACGGTCTGAAGGTTGGAATGGTCATCGCCACACTCATCTCCATCGATTGCTTGATGAAATATAGAGATGGCTACTACCATACAAAACAATAAATTACGAAACGCAAATCAAAACGCTAAATGTTCAGTGTATCTCGATGAAAAGACTTTTTTCGAATAATACCTAACATGTAAAGTAAGGGACAAATATTTAACACTCTCGTTTTTCGAAAATTGATTTGATTTTTGAGGGTCAAAATTGCGAATAACCTTTTACCTAAAATACGGTGGAAAATAACTTTTTCCTGTGACGTTATCGAGGTGCATCACGATGATTCGTAATCTCCGATGACAATTTGGCGAGAATGAGCGTTTCCGGATTTCTACGGCGTGGTTAGATAGGACTCCCGGAAATCCGGCAGGTAGGCTTGAATGGCCCGTTAAACGCGATTTTCGGCCGATTCCAATCGCGGATCCAGAATCTACAGGGTCGCTTACATTAGGAATGATTTGTTTCCATTGTGAAGAAATCAAACTTATTTTCTAGAATCATTTGTAGAAAGTACGACCGCGAAAAAGAGGGCTCGAAACAGGTTACAAACAACGCACAAAATGCTTTAGAGCGGATCTAGAGATACGGAAGGTAAAATGAAAAATATGATAACAGTTTCGAGTACGCCAGAATCCGATGTTGCGCTCATTTTCGCTCCCTGATTTGACAATGCATCTTGTGGAAGGTAATGAGGATTTATTTCACATTGTTTCAAAAGATCGACCCGGTAATGTAGGTAGTGTTGATATGAAGGGTGAGCAGAGCGAAGAAGGCAGCAATTCCGATTGCTGTGATGAAAGGGTGGGATGAGATGAGATCGACAAGGGTCGAAACTACAATCCCGGCAGCGATCGATAGCTTCTTCAAATCCTCTTGGTGAAACGTCAAGCAGAGCCATATGAGCGCTGAAGAGATATGCTGTTCTTTTTCTCGTCACCGTCTCTCTCTCTCTCTCTATCTCTCTCTCTCTCTCTTTCTCCTCTATATCTTTAACTCAAAACCTACGGGCCATGTAGATGAAACCTCCCGTAACTAGTAGCACTTGTAGGATGAGCGACGGGCATGGGACGGGCCTCTGGAATAGCCGGAGATATGGATGAAGAGCTAGCCGACATTTGCGCAGCCGAATCTCAATACCCCGAGATCCAAAATACCGAACGCCTGAAACACCGAAAGCCAGAATACCGAAAACTATAATACCCAAATCCATGATAGCGAAAACGTAATACCGAAAACGATAGTACCGAAATAATTTTCAATTTAGCGAAAATGAATATGCGAAATTTAATTTGTCAAAAGGCAACATAACGCTGTAAAAATATCCCTTTCGAAAAAGTTGGACTCGAAATATGGCTAAATTTGACAAACAAAAATTTATATGGATTTCGGTATTCTAGATTACGGTATTATGGATTTCGATGTTTCGGGCGTTCGGTATTTTGGATTTCTGTGTATTGCAAACCGGAATTTTGTGATTCGGTGTTATGGATTTCGACATAATGAAAAAAGACCGCCGCCAAACACCAGAACCCCAGGACCGACACGCGTACCTCTCTGGGGTATCTTCTCCAGCGCAGGATCTGTGCTTCGTCGGGGACCATCTGAAATCACTGGACTTGTCATTACACAGGAGAGAGGGAGAGAGAGAGAGAGAGAGAGAGAGAGAGAGAGAGAGTGAGAGATCTATAACTCAAAGCTCACTTACATCGTGACAGTCGAAGGGCCAATATATGGCGATGGCGAACAGCCAGACGGCGTTTACCGCGTAAAAGGTATGTCTAGGCTCCCATGCCATTACTTTATCGAAAAGCTAAAGTCGGGTAGAGTAGGAACCTGAAAAAGGAGACCGCGCTTGAATTTTTGAATTTACCTCCATGGCCTCTCGATCGCGATCTTGCCCCGCGGCTATTCTACTAGCGTAAACGGGGTCAATGTTAGTTCGTCTCTCCCACTCTCACGCGCTCTCTAGCTAACCCACAACCCGGGGTGACGATAGCGCCGCTCCCCTCTTCAGCCGCCTCTCCCCCTCGCATCCCGCTGTGGGCGTGGCCGAGTGGTTAGCACTCCAGGAACCGAATTACAGCTCTGAAGGTTCGGATCCTCTCAGCGACAAGGTTTTTGCTTTTTGCCAGAAACGCTCTGTACCCGCCATCCCTGCTCTCCACAGCGTTGTCTCAAGGAATTACGGCCGATCCAATAAGGAACACTCGAATTGTGATCCATACCCCAGCCGTGGACCGAGATGTTGTGGCCGATTTCCTCGTCGGTTTCCTCCCGAAAGATACTTTTTAGGGTTTTTGACGCGTCTCCTTCTCGACTGACTCTTTCTCTCCATCTCTCCCTCCCTCTCTCTCTCTCTCTAACCTTGTAAATGCCTCCCGCATAATCCCTCAAGCTTCTTGTGGCAGCAATTCCGCAAGCGTTCGGTTCCTGTTTGTGGATCTCCGCCGGATTGATAACTCGAAAGAATCGATAGACTACTCGAAAGAATCGATAGACTACAGTAGTCTTACCATATTTTAGAAGAAGACTATTACAAAGGCTCAAATTCACGAAATGTTTTTGCATTTATGAAGAACTTTGGGGGCAGGACGGAATCGTTGCTTTTCCCACGCAAAGGGGTTTTAACAAAAACCTCATTTTCTAATTTTCGCACCTTTCCTGGCAGCCTTTTTGAAAGCCATTTGAGGAAACACGGCTTGAGTGGGGCTGAGGCCGATTAAATTGAGTTTTTGAAGAAAAATGTGTAAATTTTGTATAAAAATGATGTAGATAGAGCTAAAACACCCTGTATTTTGTAAGTGTGAACGGTTATCACATCCCTTTATTCATTTAGTTAGCAGTCTTCTCATCCTCCTCAATCCGTTTCTGGAAATTCTGCATCTGGTAGTTGGAGATGCGCCGAATCGCGTCGAAGCCGGTTAAAAGCTGAAATCTTCGTTTTGGTTTTTACAGTTGAAAGCAAAAATCAAGTTAGATTGAGCTCTTTAGCTTCAAATAAATGCTTACCTCGCCTACCAGAAACACAAGGTGTATAGAATAAATGGCGCGCTCAATGGGCAACGGCCTCGTGTCCGGGTCCAGGAGCAAGAACAGGATTAGCGGAAGCTGCACCAGCAACGAGCTGATCCAAAAGCCGGAAAGGGCCGGAATCTGAAACGATTTTGCTTATCACACCCGAAATACCTTCTCCCCAAGATTTCCGTAATAGCCAAGCAGCAGCCGTACACATTCGACGGTGCAGTAGACGATCAAAACCGACACGAGCAGTACCTGATATGTCACCGAGAGCAGGGAGTACTAAAAATGAAATTATGGTTTTTTGTCGTATTTTTTTTCTTAGAATCCAATTATTCAGATATAAACAGCGCAAGAGTTTATAAATTATTTTTACTATTCCGAGGCGTAAAAGATTTACGCATTTTTTATAAAAATAAAAAATATCGATTTTCGACCAAAAAGGGCCGTTTCTGACCAATAATTCGACTTTTTAAATTGCTTTGATTGTTTTACATAGTTTTCCTAGCTTTATTAGTTATCTTGTACTAAAACACTATTGAAATACTTCCTATGAAGTTACTAAGCAATTCTAGCAAATCAAAAAATCCCCCCCCCCCGATAATGCGAAAGAACCGAAAGCATTAATGTTTATTAGAAACTATTTACCTTTAAAAGCAGGCAAGCGACGCTATAGATGAGTAGAATCGGCGCGAAATACACGTTGAAATGGAAAAAGGCTTGCAGGGGGAGACTCGTCAGCACTTCTAAATCGAGAATTTAGTACAACGAAGCATACTTACCATTTTTAGGGCCATTCTGAAGGAGGTAATGATGTTTTGTTTATCGTTATCCATTTCTAAAATAACTATAACTAAGAATATAGCTTTTCGCTTAGCAGAGACCAATTGCCACCGGCCCGGTTACCGTGGCAACGCCCCGGAGCTGCAAGGCAATTTGCATACGCGCGTGTTTTCCGGGACAACATTTCCATCTTTCGCTAGTTTAAAACAAGATAAACGATTATTATGCGCCTTCGCAACGATGGGCGACCACAAGCATGGTGCCCAGAAGAGCACCGAGCGGTCGTAAGTTTCATTTTTGGCCACCACCCGATTCCTTGGATTACAGCCGAAAATCGGAGCGGAAGGTGCACGTGCCGGCCCGGGGCTTCCTCGAATCGTTGTTTGGGTAAGCTGCTGTTTCAACCGGAACTAGACGACTCACTTTTCCAGAATGTCAAGGGAGCAGAGGAGCCGCCGTAATCAGCGCAGCAGCCAGCGCAGCACAAAACGCGGAGGCAAGAAGAAGTCTGAAGAGGTGGCGCGCAAAAATTCAACACCTGCATTTTTTCCAGAAGATTGACGTTGCTGGGATGGAGCCGCAAGAGCGCTCGACCACGCCAGACTCGAGCCGAGCCAGGAAGGAGAAGGACAAAACGCATGAGGCCACGCTCGATGAGCATGAGAAGGAGGAGCACCCGAAGCACGACGAGAAGCCGAAGAATGAGGAAAAGCCGAAGCACGACGACAAGAAGGAACAGCATGAGGAGAAGGAAGAAAAGAAGCCCGCCGTTCAACCGCGTCATAAGAACTCGGTGGGATCTAAAAATTCGGGATTCTTTGGCGTTACCGGGGGGAGGGAGCTTTTTCCGAACGATAGAATTCTAATATAAAGAAACGAAGTGTTTCTAAGAAGTGTTTTTACCATTCCTAAATGTAAAAACTACAAATTTTCATTTAAAGATGCCAAAAAGTATAGAGCTTCTGTAAAAATTTCCAATTTTCAACCAAAATTTCAATTAAAAATTTCTAATTTTTTCGGTTGTTTTTCCACTTGAAATATAGTTCAAGTTTGCTGACAAAAAAAACTATTAAAAGTCTCACTGTCATTGCTAGGAATTTCTAGATATAGAAACCCCCCACCCCCGATAATGCAAAATAACCCAAAAAAATAGATGGAAAAAACTTACTTCGACAACGAAGCATTTGCCACGCCGGCGCTAGCGATGGCAAAGAGGCCGAGCAAGATTGACGAACAGATGAAGGCGTTGGGTAAGTGTGCCAAAAAGCGCCAATTTTGGGCCTGAATTTTAGAGGAGAAGCACCGCGCCGAAGAGGAGAAACACCGTGCCGAAGAGGAGAAACACCGCGCCGAAGAGGAGGCCCGCAAACCGCAGAAGTCCAAGAAAAGGCGGCCATCCCGCGAGGCTTCACGCGAGGCGACCAGGACCACCTCGAAGGAGGCCACCGCCGAGGACGACGGCAAGAACGAGGGCACCCCTCGACGTACGGGTTTTAGACCGGAAATCCCTACCGGCTTCTGGCACTGGGTTGTTAGCGGGGGTGGGGTTTCGGGGGCCTAACTTTCGCATACCTTAAAGATAATAGACAGCTGTTCTCCCCCGCTAACAGTCCAGGGTACAAGTAGGATAAGGCGGGGGAATTTTAGGCGGGGGGGAAACCAACTTTTTCCTGGTCGGCCCTGGTGGGGATAGTAATCAAATATAAAGTGTTTTCACATTGTTTTTAGCAAAATTTAAGCCTATTTGAATCCGAAAAATTTTTTAAAAAGTTAGAAAAACGCTTGAAAAAGTCGAAAATTTGGTCATTTTTGGGCCGAAAAAAGTGATTTTTAGACCTAAAATTAAATTTTTTAATTAAGTTTTGTAAAGTTTTTATGTTTAGGAATAGCTATAAACAATTTAGAAACACTTCCATTATTTATATAAAAAAATAGGCTTGAGCGGAAAAAAGTTCGGTTCCCCCCCGCCTAAAATTTTCCCCCCCGCTTATCCTACTTGTACCCAGTCCAGAACCGGAAATTCCGCTTCCAAGACTTCCAAAATTTCCCGACCTTCATTTAAGAATAGCTTTTTAGGTTATAAACTTATTTTTATAATTTCTAAATAGTTTGTGTAGCTTTTTAGTAATGAAAAGGCCTAAATACACTACAAACAAAAAAATTCCTAGATACGCAAAAGCTAAATCCCCCCGGTAACGCTCGAGTACCGCGAGTTCTTTTAGGCGAAGCGCTGCACGCAGGGAAGAAGTAGGCCGCCCCGGATTGCTCGACGTCTCCACGCCCGATACCCCCCACTTACAAAACATTACCATTGCTGAAATGATCTTTAATCCGAAAAACGTTGCTCACGATGGGAAAGCATGTGCTTATCGCGACAGTTTATCACGTCGCTGTGTCTCGAATAAAAGCATTTAAACGTAACAACAACCAAGCAACAGAAAACATGAGAACAGACAACAAACAGAACAGGACCCGAACATGGAAATTTGCGGAAAGACGATGGGAGAATGGGATGAGATTTTTCCGCTATGCGTAGACCCGGAATGTCATAGCGGCAATGGTGCGCAGGAGGCGGACGGTACGGCGGCTCCGTTCGGCGATCATCACCTCCGGCGAGTTGGCCATGTTCAGTGAGGCTTGTCCGGAGGCCAATACCTAAAGCGGATTTTCTATCATAATCGCGAAACCTAAAAACGTCGAAATACTATGGATCTAATTTTTTTAAATATAGCTAGTGAAAGCGTTTCTAAATGGTTTTTTACTATTCGTCACGCGAAAACTATACAAAATCTTAAGAAAAAAATGTCAAAAGTATAGATTCTTCGACCAAACATGGCCGCTTTTTTACCAAAATTCGAATTTAAAAAGTTAAAAGTTTCAAGTTGAAATATAGTTACTTTTTACTAAAAAAACTATTAAAACACTTGCTATTAAGTTATTACAGTACATTACATTATGAAATTTCGAAATTATGAATTCCCATGTTTTGCAATTAACCCCACAAAACGGGCCTAATCGAGATTAATGAACTATTTTGAAAAGCGCTCACAAAAGCATCCGTCCGGGTGGTCATCTGGATCCGCTCGAACGTGTCGGTCAGCGTCTAAAAAAGTTTATAACCTGACGAAACACAAGTTTACCTCGACTAGCGCATGGTCGAAGCACAACGGCGCGAGGGTCTCCATCGTGTCGAGCACCGATTGAGTGCGGATATTCTGAAATTAGGACGTTAGCTGAAGCGGCAGCGCATGACTTTGGCCTAGCAGCTGGCAAAAGCTGGGTCGCTAAATTTTAACCGAAGAAGCAAAACAAAAACCAACATTTGCCGCCACGAGGTACTGATCCAGCCGGTACGAATTGGCCACGATAAGCTGGGCAACGATGGCGGCCAGCGTGTGATGTCCGCTTGACGTCAAACACACGCGAATCCGGTACCACATCTGTAAATCGGGGCATAATAACGTGCGGCGACTTTTGTGGCTCTCTTTCATTTTCGGGACCGAACGAATTTTTCCTGTAAGTCCAAGAAATGCCTAGCAACTTTATAGTAATTATCTTGATACTGTTCTTAGTAAAATAGCGCGATTTCAAGTGGAAAAACAATTCAAAAATTTAGAAAAAATATAAGTGCAATTTATGGTCGAAAAGACGATTTTTGTAGTTTCTAATCGAAAGTTACAACGTTTCCACGCTTCGAAATCGTAAAGAAATTAGACACACGCCAGAAAAATATCGTAAACTCTATATTCTCACCAAATCGTCGAGCAAAACGTCAGGGAATGGCGGGAGCAGCTCATTCTCCATACACGCGCACACAGTCTCCATATAGTAACCGAGAGCATTTGTTGTCGCGCCTTTGGCTGAAAATACGTGATAAACACGCGTCCAGAAAACGACGTACTGTAATAGTAGTCGGCCAGCGACCGGAGCCAAAAGGCGTGCATTGGGTTGAGGCGGAGCCCGGCCGAGAGAGCCGTGAATAAAGCCTCGTCAAGGTATTCGACGTTGGTCGCTGGTAATCTAACAGCTCAAATTTGCTTCGTTGAAATGCTAAGACTTACTCGACGTCAATCCTCCACAAATCTTTGCTCTGGAATTCGAGCGCAAGCTGGGGCTTCTTGGCCGTGAGGAGGTACCGATTGTACAGGTGGCATAAGAAGGAAATTAGCAAGGAGAGGTGTTCCTGGTCCTAAATTCAAAAGATCAATAGTGCCTTAAAATCGTTACCCGTAGCAGCTTGATGAAAGAGAGAAGATTCATGCGATCATTCTCGAACTGACGGCTGTTTCTGAAAACAAAGACCCGAGTTGGAGCGGTTCTTTAGCAATATCGCGGGGGGGGGGTCACTTTTTCTAGGATTCAATTTTGCTAGTATGAATGTTTTTACTATTCTCAAACGTAAAACTTTTCATTTTGTTCAAAATCACACAAAAATATAGATTTTTCGACCGACATGCCCTATTTTCGATAAAAATCGCCACATTTCTGGATTTATAGGAAAAAAGTTGGCTTCCCCCGATATTACGAAAGCACCGTTAAAGTTTTTAGTGGTTTTCTTAGGCTTAAAGCCACTCACGATGCGGCAGAGAAGAAGCCGTTCGACTCAAAATACGTCGCAAAATTGCCGGTGAACTGGATTTTTGCCTCCTTGGCATGGCCTTGCACCTAAAAATTGACATTTCATCTTCCTTGAACTATAATGACTACCTGTTTCCAGGCGGTGAGCAATTGGGCCAATAGAAAGTACGGCGGTTTGACGGCTGGAGTTCTGAAAAAAATACATTAAATCTTTCCCAAATCTTGACAGGTGGCAGAAGAAAACTAACAATTCGGATAGAACGAAGTCGTCTTGCGCAACGTTGATCAGAAAGGCGACCGCCTAAAATTTAGTTTCGACTCTGGCTTGAAGCGGAATCACTCACCGAAATCATAAACTGGCCGTTGGGTGGCAATGACGACTTGCGGAGCAGCTGTTTAATCAGATTCACGTGGTGGTTGACGGTAACTTCTGGAAAGCGGAGATAAGAAAATGATGGAGGCAAAAACCCTACCGTCGACGGCACAATGCGACGTTTGTAGCTGATAGTTCAGGGATCGAGTCTGCGCGAGAACAGCCTAAAAGCTGTTTATAGATAAAATTAACCATCAAGCCCAGAACCTCTTGAATGGTGGCATCATTGCGTTGTTGCAATACAGGCGTGTTGGTCACGACGAGGTTCAGAAATTCGCTCCACTTGCTCAGGTTCTAAAGCCAGATGAAGCCAAGCTGGGGAAGAATACCTTGATGCTCGCCAGCTGCTCCAATTTTGCTAGCAGCACAGCGTTCAACCGGTTCTGTTTGCCCTGCATCAGCACCTCGGTCAAGATTTCGGGGTATTTGAACTAAAATGCGATGAAGCAAAACTTCTGAATCTACCAGATATGGCAGGTGGAAAGCCTCCAATTGGCTGATCGCGCGGGACAATTCGGCAACGTCGAAAGAGGTCAGCATCGTCCAGAACGGGTCGCCAGGGACTGTGTATAAAGCTGGAAAAGAAGAATAGATTATATTCATCGATAAGTCATACCCGATCCGTCAACGGCCGAAGCAGGAATTTCGGGCGACGAAGAAGGATGAATTGCTTGTCTTACAGCAAATTCAACAGGTAGAGCTTTCTAAAGCGGAATCGTTGAAAAATCAGTAATCATAAATATACCTTTACAAGGACCCTCTCGATATCCTGGAAATTTGGCACCGTTGCCGAGATCAAATAAAGCAGGGCTCTCACGCTGGTTCGGGCGATCGGGTCACGTATCCGCTCTATTAGCCGAGCGATTGCCTAAAATCATTCGAATAACTTTCAAAAGGCAAAAACGATCGTGGAAACAGGTTTAAAAACCCACTTGGACAAAACGAATCTTCGACGCCTGAATAAGTCCGTGGAAAGCCGTCGGCGCGAAAAAGTGGATTCCGTCCATTGCGTCCCTTGCAAAGTTTTCCGCCTGAAACGTTTGTGAGAGCGAAAAAACAGCTAAACCTTTGTCATTGGAGATAGCGCACCGCGGGACTGTTGCAGAAATAGGGAGCGGTTAATCCAAAATTTCCGCTGCGGTGTGTGATCCTCCATAAGCATCTGAAAGAGCACATCAACTCGGGCTACACCACCATACCCCTTCGTGAATTGCCGGCCTCGTGTGCTGGGGGCGACCGGGAAGCGGTGGACGTTGCACCGCAATCAAATACCTAAAACATATGTTCCAAGCATGACACCAAGTCATACCCGTTCAACTCGTCACGATCGATGACGCAAAGCCGGAAGGTTTCGCTATTCTCGGGCAAAAGCGGGGTCAACTAAAGAAATGAAAATAAAGTCAGCTAAATCCTATTAACTCACGTCATCCAGGTACTTTCGTACAACAGCAAAATTCAAAAGTTGAAAGTGGTAACAGGCCAGCTCGTAGCGCAACTAAATAGAGGTTTTTGCAAAAAAAAACTATCAAAAATCTAGCCCTAAAAAGACGTACAATATTATGCAGTTCTTCCTGGGGTATCGAACGGCTTGGCAACTGAAAATCGGCAACCGGTAGATTCTGGACCGTCAAATCGGGACCGAGCAGCGCCACGGCCAGATATCTTTCGCGGGACTGGAAAGGAAGTGTTTGAAACAAGATTCTGGCATTACCTGCAAAAAAGGAATTAGGAACATTTCGACAGTGGGGGCCTCAATTTTTCGTCCTTCGAGGAGCATCGTCTCCAGCTCAGCGGCAGCCTCACCACATCTTGCTCTCGACTAAATCAATCGGTTTTGCTCATTAAACGAAGTCGATCCCACCTGATTAATCGCCTCGCGATTATTATTCGCCAACAGAATCCCCTTGTCCTCTTGCGTATTCCTAAAGATAGAAACCTCAACCTTAGAAATCAGCGCTTACGGGTTGTTCGTCTGTGGTCGACCGGCCGGGACGGGGATCCGAAACTTGTTGCTAACGTATAATCGGAATTTTGAGCTCAGAAGCGCGATGAAATGTTTGAACACCTACAAAAAAATAAAGACCACAATAATCAGGCACCTCGTGCTCCATCAAATACGACCGCGCGTTCTCCATCAAATAATGGACGAGGTGAATGTTGCTTCTAAAACATTATTATTTTGGTCAAACCTAAAGTACTTACTTTTGCTCCTGAATCATTTCGTCAAAAGCCCAGTCCACGGCCGCAAAGCAAGCCATCGTGCACAACCAGGTCAATTCTCGCTTTCGCCGCACGTAGAGGAGATCGGTCTCGGCTGAAGTATCAAAAAGCCTTGTAGTAAGAATGAAAATTCACTTTCGAGTCGTTCCGAAGCGACGGACAATATTTGGCTCCTTTTCGCCAAATTGTGGATGTCCTTGTCTAGTGCGATCATTTGCTCCACGTACTGTAGCGTGAGGGACAGGATTTCATCTAAACGAGAGCTGCGAAAGTGGACTCTTCGTACCACGATGAAGCGCGGGATGGGTGAGCAACAACTTCAGATCGTTAGCCTTGAGGAAGTAATCAACCCATGACGTCGATGGCTTATCCCAAGCCTTAAACGGATTTGTAGAGCCAATAATTCGATTAACGTTCGAATAAGCGTTCAGCTTCGACTTGAAGCCATAAACTCAGCTGCAAAGCACTACCTCGCATAGCTCAGCGAGCGGCAGCGGCATTGGTGGTTTGCCCATGAGGGACATCACAGCGATTTGACGATGTCCTCTGATTCAGAGGCTCTCACCCGGCAAAAATCACTCGAGTTTGTGGTTCCTTAAAATTTCAATCTGATCGCGCGCTGTAAAGCTCGATGTGATAGCCCTGCAGGAGAAAAGTGACCCAGCTGAAATGAGTTGCACCTCGTAAGCACAGTTATTCTTTATTCGTCAGGCACAAGGAAGACTAGCAATGGAAGTAAAGGCCGTGTGGATGGAAGAAAATGCGAGTCGGAACTTCGATAAATCTCGAGGGCGGAAAGAATTCACGATTTTTCGAAAATAAAGCAGCGGATTGGGTGGAATGAAAGAGCTGAAGTTCGCTTGGAGAGATGACAGCAAGGACAGATGATAGCACAACACAGAAGAGATCATGTAATAACTAGCGAGCGCTACGGAGGATGACACGGAGGAGTTCAAGCGAGTTAACATTCGTCGACGCAGCGCTGTTCGGCCGCATAGGAGCCGCTTTGGGCCTCGTGAATCTGCTTCATCAGCTTGACGACGTTCATCGTTGGGACTGCAAGAAAAAGTGAAATCGATAGATGGGACACCTACAATATCCAAGTCCCTGTAAGAACAGCATCAGGGCTTCGGTGACGGCTTCCGGTCGATCGTCCAGCACTAGCCCGCAAGAGCCGGAGACCTAAAAAGAAAGGTTGTTTTTGTGCCTGACAATACGTCAAACAATTATTTATAGAACAATTTAGTACCTTAATCCAGTCGCTCCTGGACGGATCCAGGCGGGTATTCACCTCAACCGTCTCGTTGACAAATGCCGAGCCTAAATAATGAACATTATGCAAAAATGACAAAACGCCTACTAGCTCCGACGAGCTGCAAGACAGGGACCTTCAACTGCGGCCCAGCCGCGCCGCCTTCACGCGAGAAGTTGATAGGAGTCCGGCTGAAAAAAATTCATAAAGCGGCCTATAAAATTTAACGAACTTTATATAGGCATCAATCAGCATAGACAAGTTTGTGGGATTCGGCAGGTGCTGGAAATAGACCCGGTACTGCCTGAAAAAAGGCTGTATATATGTCAAAAGCCAATAATTAAACCTGACGATGTCGGAAGAGCACTCGTCGATGCGACGCCCAAAATGATGCCACATCAAATAGTCGGCCACAAATGAGGTCATCCCGTAATTCTTCAAGTGACGCTGGTTCACCTTAATTTTGATAATATTACGTAAATTTCTGAGAAGCCCGTACCTTTTCGTAACCCCACTCGACCCAGCCGCAGGTGCTGTGGACACAATTAACCAGGATGAGCGCGTTGACACGGTCTTGGTTCATCAACTAAAAAAAGGAACATGAATAATTTTTAAGCTGGTTACCGTGTAGCGCAGCAGCACATTGGCACCGAGCCCGACGCCAAACGCGAAAAAGTGCGGCAATCTATAAGATCCTCTTAAAAACGGAACCGAAAAATTTACTTGAAATGCTCCACAACATTTTCGACAATGTTCGCGAGACCCTCCATCGTCGGGTATTGGAAGCTGAAAACAAAGATAAATCGCAAAAACGCAATTACTTCTCAGGCAGTGGCTTCGCATCCATCTCCTGGCCAGGAGCGTTGATGTTGTAGATGCAGAACTTGTCCGTGAACTCGGCGATCGACACGAATTGGAAGAAATTTTGGAAGTTGCTCTCCGCTAAAAAAACTTCTGAATTGAATGGTCGCACGTAACCTACAATCAAGCCCAAGATCATGGAAAGTGACGAGAGGTAGGCGTGCACGATCGCCATATATTGTCACTTTGACCTTCCCAAAGGCAGTGCTGACACTTTCCTAAACACCAGATATCAATAGATGCGCTATGATAAACCTCTTGAAAATCTCCGCCTGACCCGTCATCACATAATGGCTGCACGTCTCTTGGGAACGGGTAGGTATCCAATTCGATGCCAGACATACCTGGAATGTTGATTTATTAGAGACCTTAAAGAAATGAGCACGAGTGAGGACACAAGGAAATACTGGCAACACATAATACAAGATGCGGGATCCGCTCAAAGATAAATTATATAGGATCCAGTCGAAACAACAAAGAAATAAGGGGTTCAACCAAAATACAGTGAAATGAAGATCATAGCAGTGAAAGAGAGCGTAGCGCCACAGAATACAATTGAAAATATTGGATGATAGCTATTCAAGGGCAAATGAGCCGATCGCCTCGGCCACCCGATCGGGGAGATCCATAATCTCGTCTCCGTTCTCGTCGTAGTGGCTGATATGTGTCAACTGTTGCAGCCCCGGGTGCAAGCCGACGACCTGAAAAATTGAATTAAACGACAATGCCCACAACGCCTACATTTACGCCGTCGTCTCGCACGTCGACAAGACAGCCGTGTTCCCGGGCGCTCAGCTGCTTCTCCATTGCAGCAATCTGCTTTACAGCCATTTCTGAGGTCGATTCAACGAGGCTAAACGGCTTCGTTCAGAACTGATAAGGGTCATACTATTCGCAATCATCAGAAATTCCCCTGCGCAAAGAGTCGTCGGCGCTCTTTTCAGCTTCACGTTTCCCAAGCACCTGTTCCAGCATCTCTTTGGCCTCGATTTCGTCAGTAGTTAGCTGAAAAAAATGCGGATATGACAACTTTACATGTGCTCTCTTTAGGCGACCGTCGACAAAACCAACTTTTCTGAGTGCCGCTTCGCGTGCGTTCTGATCATCTTCTAGTTGTTGGCACAACGAGCCCTGCACGTTGATTTTCTCTTGGAGATCGCGGAAGACTTTGGCTTGCGAAAACCGGGCTTTTCTGGAAATACACAATTAGTACCGTGATGGTATTGCTAGATCAATAAGTTGCAAATTCACCGCTTACCGGAGGTTAGGGATGATGCTGGTCCTGATATGACGCACTTGCTGCGACACATCGTCCTGGAGCTTCTTATTCTCACCGATATTCCGAAGTATGTCATTCAGTACAAGGCGCGCCTGGGCAATGTCTTGTCGTGGCATCTGAAAAATAAAATAAAGATACGTGCTTGTGGGTTGCTATTGATCAAAATGAAAAGGACGGATTAAAGCAGATCAATCTTTTAGACATTTCTCGAAATTTGACCGCTCAAGTCCCAGCTGACTGCTCCATGCATAGATCCTAGGGGTTTTACGGCCGTGCTAATCCCCTCCCTCCGGTGACACGGGCGCGGTTTAGCAGCGGCTTGCTAGAGCAGTCGGTCAAGCACCCACCTCCCAGGTAGAGCAAAAGAGGCACAGATACACGAGAGTTCAATACTTTCAGATACTATTGGTCAAGTAATGCATAGACGAGTCTTTATTACCGCATGAGATCGAATACCAGTATTTAGAAATTGAGCGGGAAATTCGTGGCCCAGTGATTATTTTTGCTGGATGTAGTGTTTGTTCTGGAGTAAATTGTCTGTTTGCTTCAGGGCCGCCAGCAAGGGTTGTCGTAGATTCGTGATCTAATAAAGAATAAAGTAAACGATTAAGCGAGCTACCTCCAACTGTTGAGTGTTGTCCATATGGGCGTAAGTGTGACTCGTCTAAAATCTGATTCGTACTTCAAATAACGAACTTCACCTGTTTCAGATATCTCAAAGTCGTCGTTCGTAGTTTTGCTTCCCGTTTGTCCCAAATATCTTGTACGAGCGTTTTCGCCTAAACTTCATCAGAAGGAAATCGAACACGCGTACCTGATCACCATCTTGAAAATCTTCTTTGCATTCGCGCACCAATATGTGAGCAATTTCGAAAAAATGTTGTGAAGGAAGCTGTAAAGAACGGTTAGGCAATGCGGTGGACACGCACCTGCAGTAGGGAATCAACAGCTTCGGTTTCGGCCAGCAATATTTCCTTCAACTTTTCTACAGAAAGCCAGTCGGGAATCTAAACGAATCTAAGAAAAAACAAAAAATCTTTACCTTTACAACACACTTCATACGCTTTCGCAGATTCGTAGCAACCCATAGTGGAACTTCTGACGGTAGCCCAGCTTCAAAAGGGCCAGCATCGCCTCCGATAAATTGTATAGCGCCGCTCGTGAAGTTTGGAACGACCTCCACCAGCTCTTCACCAGCCAAAAATTCACAAGCCTCGATATCCATCGCCTTCCTAAACTCGATATCTACTTCTGCTGCCAGCATATCCGAAAGTAATGTTGAAGTCTAATCGTTCGCGCATTCGGTCTGGCCTTTTTCTTGGGAATCTTTATCAGTTAAAGTTGCAGAAAATATATTAAACCGGGCACGAATTAAGAAAGATGAAAATCACAAATGAACGATAAAACACATTTGCACGATGGCAAAGGGGGCGCCTAGTGGCTGACATCCATGCTCTCGACGATCTCGTACTTGATCTCCTTGCGCTTGAGGACCGCAGTCGAGCCAGCCTAAACCAAGGAGATTACGTCAACAAATATAAAAATACCTTGAATTTGTAGTCCAAATCGATGGGTTCCGGTTTTTTACAGAACTCTGGCAATAATCGGTCCCTTCGAAAATCGTCTTCTCCGGGCGGATGATGACCAGGTTTAGGCTGTTTCCTGACGCGTTGTCACCGTGCATACCGGCGTGGAGCGCACGTTGCACCAGATCCTATTGCAAGAAAGTTAAAAGTAACTCTGATTTGATCAAACCTTCGCTTCGGCTTCCGTCATCTTGGGCTTGAAGTCGTTCGAGAATCGAGATAGCGGCATAGCTACCGATCCCTAAAAATTGGTAAAGGGGTATGCCGCCGACAAACCTGGGCAGCGAATTCCTTGTGCATCGTGGAAGTGTTGGCGGTACATTCATAAAGATGAGGACCGGTCGGGTCAACGCCGCCAATCAACAGGTAGGCACCAATGTAACCCTACGATTTCATTAGGTCCAGGTATGCACAAGAGCGTACCTGATAGTTGAAAAGATGCTGCTTTCTTGGATGCATAGCTGTTATCACGCGGGCCTTCTTGCCAAAGTGTTCAGCTCCATCAGGCGGAGGTTCGACGACAAAAGACTCGTCACCGGACAAAAGAGATATCGTTTTCTTTGAATACAAAATCGGAGGCTGACTATCACAAATCCTCCGGCCTCCCGCGAGCAATTTCGCAAAAATTTACCTGATCCAAATCAGCAGCAGTTCCTGCTCCACAGGCGTAGATGCTCTCCGTGATCTTGTGCACCTTCCTCGCAGTGCTTGTCGGCGATGATGTTTCCGGCAAGCGTCGCTCGAGAATCGGCTCCCATCACCAGCCCACCGTCGTACGACGTGGGCAACAATTGTCGTACCTAAAATGAATCCGTAAATGTTTGTCACGATTACCAGTCGAAGTAAGGCGAGGGGCAGCGGCGCCCATTCGGCACAGGGCCATGTTTCTCTGAAGCAAGTTGTCGAAGCTCGAAGGCGTTGCCTTTGTCGAGCTCCATCTTCCAGCACCGGCTTCCTCGGCATTGATCGCTCGCCATGATCCTGTAAAAAGTTAATATAAATGGAATTTCCAAAAGGACGAGGATTCGACAGGGAAGACATGAATGTGGGGGTACAGGTAAAGGCAAAGACAGGAGCGCAAAAAAAGGGTCCATGACAGATGAGCAAGCAAGCAAGCAAACCACAAAACCAAAATCAAAACTGAGCAAATCACTTTAGCGTGTTTACTAAGAAGTCATTGTTGCTCAAACGTCGTTGCTCATTTGGGATGGCCCTGAAAAGCAGAAGACGACCGACTCAGTTTGAGCGAAGTTTTTCTTATGAAAAGCATTTTGTTTCAGTGTTGATTTTCATCCATACCATCGTGCCGGGATGATTTCAACGACGTTGTTGAATTGGGGGCAAGTTACTGTCCCAGGGCCTGAAAAATAGGCGCCGGTGCGGGAGAGGGGAGAGAAGGGCGAGTCAGCCGCCCGCATTCGTCTCATCGGCTGGTTATGACGATTGGGGGATACTGCGGGATCCCAGGATAACAACGTCTGGAAAACAAAACCAAAACAGTGGAGAAGGCGAAAACGTTTGTATTCCAGGATGCCAAAAGACGCGCTGAATTTGATTGACTCTGGGCTTTGAGGCCGACCGGGTCGAAGTCCTAAGAAAAGACAAATTTTATAACGCTCGGTTTATTTCCACTGGCTGTACAGTGTACAGTTTTCCGTAATTGTTATTACAACGTAGGCGTCCGGCTTGATTTTTGAGTACAGTGGATGCGTCTTCGAGGTTGAAGGATGCTGAAGTGGCATGACTTTGGCGAGGGCAAGTCGGCCACCAAACTTTGAAATTAGCGGAAAGCAATAGACGGTAGTCTGGTAGATGAACCGTTTGAATATAATTGTTTGCGGAAGGCTGTTTGCGATTGTCGGGGTTTTGTCGCTATTTCTGGCGCGGGGCAATACAATTCGAGCTGAGTTTGTCGAAAAACGTGGGCAGCTTGCGAAAATTCTATAGAAAAACCTGCCAACCGACTTGTGGGCTCTACATAAAGATTCCGACTCGTTCCAAAATGATAATAAACATTGTATTGTGGTT